AGAAAATGATCTGAGCTTACCAAGGACATAAGCAGCTGTACAGAGTATTTTCTTAATTAAAAATCTTATTGTCTGTAGAAAAGTGTCAATGAAAGATGTCAATATTTAGAATTAATTGACCTTCAAATACAAGTTTAAAGAGGTGGGGAGGGCATAGCTCAGTGGCAGAGCACATGCTTAGCATGCACGAGGTCCTGAGTTCAATCCCCAGTACTTCTACTAAAAAAAAAAAAATACAAGTTTAAAGATCGTAGGCAATATTGCAGAAAGATTTAAAATAATAAGACCACACTAAAAAAAAAACGAAGAATCTTCAGAAAAGTAAGTGACACAGATAGATGCCGTTAAGAAACTGATTAAAGCGGGTGAATATGTGCCAAGGATAATTATTCTGCTTCCATGATTCTTAACGTTCAAATCAGCATAGAGAAATTCTTTTAAATTTTTTCTTCAGTGTACATTTTTATTTTTCAAGAAGTTTTTTTTAAAGAAGAGTTTTCTTATACAAGCATTTTTGAAATAGAACTGTATGTATATCCATCAATGTAAGAAACCAATTTTCAGTTAATAATTTTCATCATTACAATATACTCTCAGAATTGTATTGAGTTAGCAGATAAATTACACCGTTGCATATCCACACGCCTCTGATGCTTCCTACTGCATTTTCCATCCTCAGGCTGTGGGAACCTGAGCTCAGTCCGCGCTCCTGACCTCCCTCCGCATTCACATCTTGCTTTACAGACGTTTCAGGGATAGACTTGGTTATGCATGCTTGTATCAGAATATAGCTTTACACCTTTTTGTCCCCTTGTTACTCTCTAGGGTGCAGGAATTGGATAAATTCATATCACCCACTCTTCCATTCATTCAAAGATCGCTCTCCCACGGTTCAGGTGCTAAGGGTTTTCCTAGTGTCCTGAAGTGTGCAGTTCCCCAGCAGAGTGCAGGACAAGTCAGTCTGGCAAGGATCCCCAGATCACTTACTGACAGGAGAGAAAGGAAAGAAAAAGAAAGAAAGAAAGAAAGAAAAGAAGAAAGAAAGAAAGAAAGAAAAGAAGAAAGAAAGAAAGAAAGAAAGAAAGAAAGAAAGAAAGAAAGAAAGAAAGAAAGAAAGAAGGAAGGAAGGAAGGAAGGAAGAAG